AACCTCTCTGTCTTTGTCATCACTCAGAAATGGTGAAAGTTTAGAAAAACACAAGCCTGCACGCATTTATTAATGTCTCTGTGTGCTACGAAGTCGGTTTGAGAACAAAAGAAAAAAAAGAAGGAAAAAAATGAAAATGGGTTCTCTTTATCTACCCTTTTTTATCTAATTTTCATGATTCAAACATGGTGTTGCCGAAGAATGTTCATGGGAAAGAGGCGAAAGGTAATTATAAGCGCATAATGAACCTCCGACAGCAGTTTCAAGAACCCTTTTCCTCCCAGGCCCGCATAAGCACAACAAATAGACATCATCATCGTAATAATCAGTGGCCATCGAAGAGAATGGATGAAGGGGAGGATGTGTACATGAAGCAGATCGAGGAGCTCGAAGAGTTGTTCTCTAAGCTAAATCCGATGGCTCAGGAGTTTGTGCCCCCATCACGTGCTGTTTCAGATGTGCCCATGGACGTTAATGGCGGATGTGCCTCGGCTGCTGATGCTATGGACGATAACGGGCTTGGAAACAGCAATGGGAGCAGGGGCCCGAGAGGGGTATTGTCTTGTTTTTTCTCACTGATCTGTTTTGGACTTCTTCTTTTTTTGGTTCTTTTATATGGTTTTGTTGTTCTGCTTTGGACTTGTTGTAATCCCGATTTCCTGTTTTGACTGATGTATTTTATTTCGTTCATAAGGTCAAGAAGTGGACGAACAGCAGGACAAGCATGGCTCAACGTGAAGAAAAAATTCGAAGGACTGTTTATGTCTCTGACATCGATCAGAAGGTAAGTTATCTTTGTGTAGTTTTGCTGTATAGTTACTGTTTTGATGGTTAGCATGGGCTAGATGAATGTGTATAGCTGCTTGTGAGAATGTGCTTATTTTGATGAACAGGTCACTGAAGAGCAGCTAGCTACGCTATTTTCGCATTGTGGGCAGGTGATTTTTTTTTTGTGCTCTTTCAGTTTTCTGCGAGTGATTTTTGTTGCTAATCTCTTATAACATTCTTTGCCTTTTAATCGGAAAGGTTGTGGACTGCCGTGTATGTGGAGACCCGAGATCTGTCCTTCGTTTTGCTTTTGTAGAGTTCACTGATCAGGGTAAATCGATAAAAATTGCCTACATTTTTTGTTCAGTTCTCACATGTGTGTTTATCAAATAAATAAATATTCCTATGTATAATGGTTTTGCAGAGTCTGCTCGTGTTGCATTAAGTCTGTTTGGTACAGTTCTTGGATATTATCCGGTCAAGGTCTCACCTTCCAAGACGGCAATCGCACCTGTCAATCCTACGTTTTTGCCTCAGGTTGGATTGACTTGCTGAAATTTATCGTTCTCTTACATTTGCACGTTTTCGAAAAATATTGATTTGACTCCTTCACATTCGTGAAAATTATTAACTTCAGACATCGGTTGAACGAGAGATGTGCTCAAGAACAGTCTATGTTACTAATATCGACAAAAAGGTATGTGCGTATACGGTTGCTAATTGCTATACCATCTGGCTCAATTAATCCATGTGACAGAAATAAGAAAGAAAACAAGTCTAAATATGTGATTTTTCCATTATTCTTCTTCTTTTCTATTCTTTTTTTTTTTTTGCAGGTTTCTCAAACAAAAGTGAAGCTCTATTTCGAAAGTCTCTGTGGGGAGGTAGTTAAAATATCTTTACGCACTCGTGTTTTATTCAACTGATGTGCTGAGTTTAGTGTTTCCATAAATCGTTCTTGATTAAGGTGTATCGCTTGAGGCTGCTAGGAGATAATCACCACTGTTCACGGATCGCGTTCGTGGAATTTGTGGCGGTAGCAACTCTTATCTTTTTCTTTAGTTCTTTAGCTTCTACGTCAATAAATAATATTCTAGTAATTCTCAGACTAATGGCATAATGTTTGAATTTCTGATCTTTAACTTGGTGAGGCTTCATAACATAGGTGTTCATTAACAGCCTTATGAAGGTTTTAAAAAGTACTGTCTGTGGTGCATTTTCGAAATATCGGCATTACTCTCATTGGACATTGTTAGTAAGTATGCACTTGCACTGTCAAGCAACCATATTAAGAAGCACGATATCCGTCAAGTATTTCTTTTCGGAAATTAAGAGGAAATTTAATATTTTGAATTCCCCTGACATTTTTGTTTTCCCAGAAGATGAGTTATTTCTTTGATGTGTTAGAAAAGCTAAAAGTAGCATTATACAGACAAACAGCAGAGTGAGTAAGTAGTATCGAGGTTTCGTTTTGCTCGTGGGATATAATATATAGCTTCTTAGCCGTTCGGTCTTTCGTATTGTATACAGTTTGATTTTTCCTATATAATATCTTCATTGCTGTCAGTAAATAATCCATCAGAATGCATGCTCATCAACAAACCCACATATAACTTCATATAAGTGTACGGAAAAGTACAACAGCCGTGTTATTCTCGGCAGCGTGTTTGCTCTATCAACTAAAGGAAATTAAATGTCCTTGAATTTCTCTAGTAAATATTATTCAAATCCAAATTTTGAGGATAGGATATGATTACATCATTTTGAGTATAGTTTACACTTGTTACGGCCATTATACTTACTCGTTTATTTACGTGATATGTTCCAGGCAGAAAGTGCAATTGCTGCTCTCAACTGTACTGGAGTGATGTTGGGGTCCCTGCCGATAAGGTGAGTTATAGCTTTCGGTATAATCCTTTTCTAGTATATTATCAATGTTGTTAATCCTAACTTGCTTCAGTTTCGCGTTTGATATGTGTGATATCAGGGTAAGCCCGTCAAAGACTCCTGTCCGTGCTAAAGCTCATCGTCCTAAAACTCACTAAACCAGCTTTGGTTGTTTCGTGAGCAAACATTATCAAGAGTAATAATTTGGTTATCTACAGAGATTGTTACGAGTGTGTCTTTGTTTTGGTTTACGTACATTGACTCTCGTCAAAACTCTTTCGATTGTGGTTGCTGTTTATAAGTGCCGGAGCATATCTTTTCTGCTATTATTATTACGCTTCGATCAAATACCTAAAGTCGGTCCACATTTCTTGTTCACAAATCTGCATTTGTTGTCCACAAAGACCACAGATAGGACACAATAATGTGATTTGTGAGTCTCTCATCAAGTACATTTATTTGCTTAATTACATGGCATATTCTGGATATGAAACATCAAGGCTGAAAATCTTGGAACTTAAAATATTATACAAGAAACTTTATTTTGGAAAATAAAATAAAATAAACATATGCATATCATCCTTCATTTGGTCAAAGACTCAAAGATGAAGAAGGCATCTCAAAGATTTGCCATCTCTGAGCAACTGCATGGCTTCATTGATGTTCTCAAATGGCATCTCATGAGTTATAAATTCATCCAACTTCACCACCTGTAAAAAAAAAAAAATAAAAAAAAAATAAAAATAAAAATACTATGATTAATCAAATATATATATATATATATAAAGATAGGAAAAACAGCTCAGCGCCAGGATAATACAAAGCTGAACACCTCTCATTCTTGAGACTTTTTCAACGAAAAAAAATGGCGTTGAATGGGGCTTTGGAAGAGTCGGTGCATGCCTTGTGTTTTTATTTATGTGATTACTCATGTTGGGAGGTGCATGAAGGGTGTTATGACTACAAAATACTTCTCGAATCGAATGTCATACTTTATAGTATATAATATAAACAAAAGTATGACATTTTATAATATTGGTTGCATTTTTTTGCAAGAAAATACGGTTGCCTAGCAATTAAGCAGCCTAACAGTAAGTCAGTCAGTAACATTTGTGTACACAATCAATCATAGCAGTAGATGCAATTAAAAATAGCAGTTCTCACGCTAATACTTTGTTCTCGTTTGAACCACATCCTTCATATATAATATTGTATAATTTTTGGATACATACCCCTTGGATGCATTTTGTGACCAAATGAGGAAGTTGGGATTTCCCTTTGAAGTCACCAAAAACAGAGCCCACAATTTTTCTGCCACTAAACAGCTCCATTGGGTGGAGAGGAAGCAGATTTGGTGTTTGATGTATCCCTAAGATCACTGTTAAACCCCAACCCTGCAAATTCACACACCATCATTAAAAATAAAGTAATTTACTAATTTTTTGTTAATCTCACAATTAATAAAACTTGATTTGATTTTTTTTTTTTTTTATGAGATCTAATAATTATAAAGTTTTTACAGTATAGTATATATATAATTCCAGGGGCGGAACCAGCCTCATCATTCACCGGGGTCAACAATATTTAGTGGGGTCATTAACCTAGTAAACAGTGTTTGAACAGTATTTTATACTAAAAATTTTGAAATCTATAAGGGTCAACTGACCCCAGCGGCAAGGTGCAGCTTCGCCCCTGTATAATTCTAAAGTATGATTGGGTCGAATAGGTGGTGTATACTAATATTTATCAACTAATTTCCCATTCAAATTGTAATATAAAATGGGAAAATGCTAAGGTCTCGTTACGAACCATTCCGTTGGAGTTTGTAACCGTTTAGATCATTATGTAACTGTCAGAGATAGTCGTAGTATCTTCCTATAAAATATATAAATAAAGAAAAATAAAAAAGAGAGGAATTTTATTTTAGAAAATAAGTAATTTTAGAAAATAAAAATTCGAAAAAAAAAATAATAAAATAAAGAAAAAAAGAGAGGAATTTTATTTTACATCGTGTGTGGACAAAAAGGCCTCTCGAAGGACGTCCAAATTTCCTACACACTCGAAGCTATAATCCACGCCTCCTTCGGTCATTTCACTTATGATCTGCATTAATCACCATCTAAACCAAATTAAACCACTATTAATTATATAAAAATCCAGCCAAATACATGTTAATTTCCTACTTATTTGATTAATTACTAGTACAACGCCCGTGTATTACACGTGTGCTTGTTAATTTTTTTCTTTAAAATCTAAAATTGTTGAGAAAAAGTAGTTGAAAATTTAAATAACTTTTATAAAAATATATATTATTATATATTTAGTATGACACTTTTTATTTGTGTGACTTACTTGTGTTATGTTATAATAATTTTTTGAACTTACAACATATAACTACATTAAACAAAAACATATCAACTGAGAAATAATTTTATTTTTCTAATAAAATTTAATAAATATTATTTTTTATTATTATAAAGGTAAATATTATTTATTTATTTTATATATACAATATGGATGTCAAATCGAAGATCATGAAAAGATAATTAATTTGATATATTATATATGTAAAACCGATAAGAAATACAAAAGTTATCAACTTTTAAAATATATTTATAATTCAATAGCTAATTGAAGGAAACAAATCAAAAGTCAGGGATATATTAGTCACTTAGTGTCTCACTATGTAAAAATTACAAAGAATTAAAGGGTTATATTAGTACAAGTGATATTAAAATACCTAAGTTAGCTAAATAATATTTATGGAATGTTCGAACCTAGATAATAATTATTAGTATATCAATATTATTTGTTCGAACCTAATTACGAAGCATGATTCTTCGCCAAGTAGGATTCCGAAGCACCAGAAGCAGCCACGTACGCTCAGCGCATTCGGGAATTATATATAGGGGCGATAAATATTATCTACAATACATTGTTTGTCATTGTTTTATCTACAACCTAACCCAACATAATAATTTTAATTGTGTTCCAAAACATATCAAGAGTGGTCTCTATTTATAGAGTATGAAAAAATATGAATTTTGGTATTTTT